CTGCGCAAGGCCGAGCTGTGGTGGTGGTGGTGGTGGTAGCGGCGGTGGTGGCCTAGGGAGTGGTTCTTGGAGATAGAAATGTGAGGAAGCCTGTGGCCACTCTCAGCAGGACGAAGCCTTCACGCAGGATCAACCCAACTCCGGTGAGCGAAGAGCGGTCACTGTCCAAGCCCAAGACCTGCTTCACCTCACCCCCAATCAGCTGTGTCCCCAGTTCCCAACCCTCAGCCCTGGACACTAGCCCGTGGGGCCTTGGCCTTCCCCCGGGGTGCAGAAGTCTGCAGGAGGAGCGGGCGATGCTCAGGAAGGAGCGGTATGGCCTTGCCGCTTCCTCCCCGTGGGGGACCTGCAGGGCTCTTCCTCCAAAGTGATTTCCCCGGGGGCCTCTGGGTTTGTCGCCTGGGCTGTTGGTATCTTTGAGGGACCCGTGTGACTGTGACCTGGAAGCCAGGCTGACTGCTCCTGATATCTCTGTCCCCATAGCTCTAAGCAGCTGCAACAGTCACCAACCCCCACCTGTCCCATCCCAGAGCCGGGACCGCCCCTCCCCAGCCGGACTGGGAGCCTCGCAGCTGAGCACGCTGACCCTGCCAGGGTGTCCTCCCGCCAGCGCCTGGAGGTGGTAGCCTTGCTCTACTCCTCCTGCATTGCTGGTTAGTAACCCCAGAGGGCTGCAGCACTGCCGAGCAAGATGCATAACTGAGCCCTGGCTCCAGATGGTACCAAATACAATGGGATTTCTTTTTATATCCAGAAAATCTGGTACCAAACCTCTTCTTGGAGCTTTTCTTCGTCCTTCAGCTCCTTACTGCCCGGAGGATGGTGGCTGCCAGGGACAGTGATCTTGAACCAAGTCAAGGTACTTTGGGTCGGTACACAAGACTCGTGGGCTCTGCAGATGGTACAGTCTTTCCTGACAGCTCCTTGCTATCCTAGATTCCCTGGAAAGCCCACTGTTCCAGAGCATCCACGACTGTGTCTTTTTTGCAGTCCAGGTTTTGGAGCATCAGTTTCAGTGAGTTCCCTGGCTGAGGCATTTGGGCCTTTCTTTCCTTGTCTGTCTAGTTCTTAGGCCACTTGGGTATACTTGTGCTTAACACAAGTATGGTGGCTCTGTACCTTTTCCTGTCTGTAAAAATTTGGTGTCAAGGCTGTGGATTTATCCCTTCAAAGAATCAAACACACTTGACTTCCAACCTTGGGTTCACTGCAGACATTTCTGGCCTGCTTGCTTGTTCTCCACTCGCCCTTCGGGGTCTCGCTTCCTCACTGTTTGTCTCCATCACCTTGACTCTTGACCCCTGCCCTTGCCCTACATACCTGGGCTTGTGTCCTGCTCCGTGTTCAGACATACTGCATATAGTGTGTAGGTGCTTCTTACTGTGTAGTCCAGCCCCAGGCCCAGTCATGCGTGTTCTTGTCCTTGCAGGATTCTTTCCTACCTGGACAAAGGGACTTTAAAGCTGCTGGCTGAGAATGAGCGGCTGCTGTGCTTCTCTCCAGCTCTGCAGGGCCGCCTTCGAGCTGCCTACGAGGGCAGCATTGCCAAGGTAGTGACACCAGCCTAAATGCCCACTGGTCCGGAGTTGGCCTTCCCAGCTTTCATAAATTCAGGCAACCTGCTCTCCCCCATCAAATGACCCGTGTGCTAACTCAGCAAGACAAGGGATCACGTCTTCTGACCAAGGCTCATCAGGATTTGTCCTAATACAACTACCATGTTTCAGGTCTCTTTGGTGATGCCACCTCCTGCTCAAGCTGTCTCCTTTCAGCCAGAGACGGACAATCGTGCCAATTTCTCCAGTGACCGGGCCTTTCATACTTTTAAAAAACAGAGGTGAAAAGAAAAAGGGAATTTGGGGGGAGGGGATGAGGTAACAGGTTCTCTGGAATAGGCAGCTGTTTTGTTGTCCCAGAACCTAGAAGTCTGGCGGACCGGAGGAGGGTCCCCCCGGGCCCTTCCTGAGAACCATCATTAGGGCTGTTGCTGTTCGGTTCTCACGGATTTGGACTCTGAGCTTGGCCATCTCACAGCGCATGATGTCGTACTTTTCTCAGACAAGCATATGCCCAGACTGACTTTCCTTGCCCAGAGAAGTGTGATGCCTGATAGCTGGGTCTGCGGCATCTCCATAGAGTAGAGAAATTTGAAGGCTAAAAAGATCAGGGCTGTATGTAGGGCTGGCCTTGGCTTTCCAAGCAAGGAGGCTGCACCTGGAGTGAGTGAGGCAGCTGTGCGGCGGCTGACCAGGTGTTGTGTGTGTCAGGGATGTGTTCTACGAGGTGCTTCGAGAGTGGGAAGATCGCCATGACGAGCCTGGCTGGGACTTTGAGAAGGGATTGGGCAGCAGGATCAGGTGGGTGCTGAGACCTTGGCCACCACTCTTCTTGCTTCTGACAGTGAGCGGGCAGCTCAGTGGTGCTCAGTGAGCTGCTGAAGGAAGGCTTTCCCCGCTCCTTCCACCCTAAAGCTGTTTTCTCCTTAGCCTCGTTCTCAATAGTTCTGCCTCTGTTCACAGGGAATCTTTCTGCCTAGTTCTTCCACTTTAAAGTGCAAAGGGTTGAATTGAGTTGCTTAGATTTTGGCCCAAGGCCCTGGCAAGACTCCTCCTACTTCCATTTTCTGCATCGCGTAGTTGAAGCAAGCCTAGTGACTTGGCATCAGTAGCTGTTGATGCTGTGGAGCGAGTGTCCTCATCTACTGTCGGTCATGAAGTTGACTGGCCCTCACCCTGCAGATCCGGAAGAGGCGTTTCTTCTTCACTTCGTTAAGTGCACCTCTAGCTTGCAGGCATCTCTGCTGAGAGAGGGTCCCTCATCTTCCCCCACCTGGAGCAGGCCGGCTCTGCTCTGGTCCCTGGGAAATGGCTGAGAAGCCCAAGGACTGGCTGGCTTGCTTAAGTCTTCTCTTGCCCTCCTTCTCACACTCCACGCCTGACTTTCACTCCTCAGAGCCATGATGGGTCAGCTCTCTGCAGCCTGCAGCCACAGCCACTTTGTTCGGCTTTTCCAGAAACAACTTCTTCAGGTAATAGCTGTGGCAGGAGTTTAACCTACAGTGACCAGCAGTATTATAGGCCACCAGGGAAAGGGTGGCATTCTGGGCAGGTTCCTTGGGCAGTCATTCACACTCAAGTGCCAGTGCAAAAACAGCACTCTGATCTGCTTGTAGTCTGTGCCCCACACCTCATGCCCTTGCCAGCCTGTTAGCACCTCTTTCCCTTGGTTTGTGCCATGGTAGCGAAAGGACAGGCTTAGTAGTGGGGCCTTTTCACACCCATCCCGTGACCCTGGGCAAGAGCTTATAGTTTTGCTTTCTTTACCTTTAGAATAAGAACATAATCCCTGGCTCAGAAACTACCCAGAGCCTCTGACGGAGAGTTAGCTTTCCATATATGTTCCTTACTTTATCCTTTCTGTGCTTGCCCTGTCTCCTCCCTCCGGCCACCCTAGATGTGCCAGAGCCCTGGTGGTGCCGGGGGCCCACTTTTGGGTGAGGCCCCAGATGTGCTGAACATGCTGGGAGCTGACAAGCTGGGGCGCCTGCGGCAGCTCCAGGAACGACTTGCAGCCCCTCCAAGCAGCGGGGGGCCCTGCCCACCCCCCACCTTCCCAGGCTGTCAAGGATTCTTCAGGGATTTCATCCTGAGTGCCAGCAGGTAAAAGTCCTCTGTGTCTTGCAGGGAGAGGGACAGAGGTTAGGAGAGATTTGCCTTCCTAAAAGGGCAGCTATCTCCTCTCTTTGCCTGGGATGTAACAGGTAGGACCACGTGGTCTCTGACTCCTTCTAGTTCACACTTTTCTGGCTTTGTTTCACTTATTTTCACCCACTTAGATAATTTCCTTGCTTTGTAGCCTCCTAGTGTACTTGCAGATACTTCCTGTCCAGAGCTCCTCTCCTCAGCCCTGGTACTTTCACCTTTTCCAGTGTTTACATCTTCGCTCCCTTCCTGCTCCAGCTTCCAGTTTAATCAGCATCTCATGGACAGCCTGAGCCTGAAGATCCGGGAGCTCAATGGTCTCTCGCTGCCTCAGCATGAGCCTGGGGATGAGGACGGGGAGTCGGATGTGGACTGGCAGGTGAGCAGAACAGTGGAATGATGGGGCCCGACCTGGGGCGGAAGGCAGATTTGAAAACATTCTGGAAGCCTTATGCCTGTCTCTGTTACTCTCTGGGTTCCATGCAGGGTGAACGGAGGCAGTTTGCTGTGGTGCTTCTTAGCCTGAGACTTCTGGCTAAATTTCTGGGCTTTGTGGCTTTCCTACCATACAGGGGGCCTGAACCACCCCTAAGCCGGGAGCTTCAGGACTCCATTGTGGCGCTAAGGAGGCAGGTGAATGAGGGTGAAGCCCTGGGCAGGAGGCGCTGGAAGACCAGCAAAGGCCAAAGGCTGTTTCCTTGGCTGTTCTGGAGAGCTGGCAGGTGAGGAACAGCACCCAGACCCCTGCCCACTGACCGAGCCCTGGCTCTCCCAGGTTCCTCCTGTCTTGGATGTGCGTGCACTGCTGCAGCAGGGGCTGCAGGCCCACCGGGCAGTGCTCACAGTACCCTGGCTGGTGGAGTTCCTCTCCTTTGCCGACCACATCGTCCCCTTGCTGGACTACTACCGGAGCGTCTTCACTGTCCTGCTGAACCTCCACCGGTGAGTAGATAAGGCTAAGAAGAGGACGTGTGGTCAGGCGTGGTGGCCCATGCCTGTACTCCTAGCCCTCAGGGGCAGGAGGATTGCCAGCCTGGGCTCCATGGTGAGTTCAAGGCCAGCCTGAGCTATGTAGTGAGACCCTGCCTCACAAAGAGGAGTGTGAGGGGCTGCAGTGCTCACAAAAGAGCCTGCTCCTAAAGAGGCTGAGTGCCCTGGGCTTTCTGTGCAGTTCTGTCAGCCCTGAGCCTAGAGGAGAGGCTGGCTACCCCACAGTGAGGTGTGTGTGATGGTATGCCCTGTCCTTGGCCCTTTTCTGTCCCCGCGGCACAGCAGAGGTGGGAGACATGGCAGGGGACTCAGAAATGTTGGCTACCTGCATGACAGCAGTGCCTTCGAGGTTTGCATTTGAGAGCAGTCTTCTCAGAAATGGTCTTTGTTCGCTCCATCCTGTCCCTATGCGCACGGTCCCTTCACACCCTCCCTTTACCTTTCAGGAGCTTGGTCTTGTCACGGAAGGGTGAGGGAGAGATGTGTCCCCTGAACAAGCTGTTCCTGCTGGCCATCCTGGGCTGGCTTTTCCAGGTGGGCAACCTGAGGGTCTGGTCTGGACATGGGGCGATGCTGGAGCAGAGAGAGGAGCAGGCAGGTCCAGAGGGACGGCCACCACTCTGCTTCAGGGGAGGACTGCAAGTTTCCAATGTGGAGTCTCAAGTGCCAGCTAGAGCACGGATGGCTTCCATGTTTTGCCAGATTCCCACAGTCCCTGAGGATTTCTTCTTTCTGGAAGAGGGTCAGGTGGAGGCCTTTGAGGTAGACACAGCCGCATCAGAGTGTGGCTTGGTGAGTGCTGGGGTCTGGCCTGAGGCAGGGGACCCCAGGAAGACAAGCCCGGAGAAACTTAGTACTTTACATAGTTTTCCTATCAGACGGCCACCCTGGGCAGTCTGGGGAGGACCGACACTGGTCTCTTCTCAGGATTGTGTGCCTGTGGTAGACCAGCAGCTGCTCTACACCTGCTGCCCCTACATTGGTGAGCATGGGCTCCTGAGTGCCAGAGCCCCCTGCCCTGCATGTCCCTGAGCTGCTATGTGTCCCTACAGCCTGGGAGGTGCGGGCAAGGGTGGGCTTCTGGGACAGAACTGAGACTTCCCTGCTGCAGGAGAGCTCCGGAAACTGCTCGCTTCGTGGGTTTCAGGTAGCAGTGGACGGAGTGGGGGCTTCGTGAGGAAAATCACCCCCACCACCACCACCAGCCTTGGGGCCCAGCCTCCCCCAAGCGGCCAGGAACTACAGGTAGGAGGAGAGCAGTGGGTGGCTGCCGCCACCATCACGGAAGGCGGTTGGGGCCTCACAGCACTGCTGTCCTCACAGGCCCAGCTCGCCCAGGCCTTTTTCCACAACCAGCCCCCCTCACTGCGCAGGACTGTGGAGTTCGTGGCAGAGAGAATCGGGTCAAACTGTGTCAAACACATCAAGTAAGAACAGCCTGAGGGTCCCCAGGCTAGTCCATTTGTCCCTTAAACACCATGCTGCCAGAGTGAGGCAAATCTCTGAACCTTGCTGTCCGTGCTGCAGGGCAACACTGGTGGCAGATCTGGTACATCAGGCAGAGTCACTTCTCCAAGAGCAGCGAGTGACACAAGGCCAGGGAGGGCGAGATCCAGATCCAGCCCATCTGTTGGAGATTCTGTGTTCCCAGCTGTGCCCCCATGGGGCCCAGGCATTAACCCAGGGGCGGGAGTAAGAATCACAGTCTCCCAGGACCACCTCTCCACCCTCTTGGCTCCTTTTTCTGTCGCTCTCCCCCATTTCCCCACTCTGCTCTAGGCTCCTGCAGCTTCAGGCAGGAGGATTGTGGGCTTCTCCCTTCTGGCATTGGGTGGGTGGGAGGCGGGCAGCGCTTGTGTGCAGGCCTCAGAGCTGCCTCCTGCTCTCTTCAAGGTTCTGCCTGAGGAAGAGCCCCGGGGCCGTGCGGGCACTGCTTCCGGAGGAGACCCCAGCAGCTGTATGTCCTAGGGAGTAGGCTGTGTGTGTGTGAATGAATGAGTGCACATGTGTGATCGCGCGGGTACGCGGAGCGGCGTGGGGGCTGCCCCCTGCCCGCCTCACTCGCAGGCCCTCCCTCCAGGTTCTAAGCAGCGCGGAGAGCATTGCTGTGGGGCTGGCGTCTGAGAAGGCCTGTGCGTGGCTGTCAGCCAACATCACAGGTGAGACTGTGCCCCCTTCTGAGGGGCAGCCGGAAACGCGGGGCATGGGGGGCGCCAGAATGACCCGTTCCCGTCTCCCCGCCCTGCAGCACTGATCAGGAGGGAGGTGAAAGCAGCCATGAGTCGCATGCTTCGCGCCCAGGGTCCGGACCCGGCTGCCCGGGGGGAGCGGAGGGGCTGCTCCCGTGCCTGTGAGCACCGCGCTCCCCTCCCCTCCCACCTCATCTCCGAGATAAAAGTACACAACTCCCCACGCCCTCGGCCCCTGCTTCCCTCCCCACGCTCTTCCCGATTTCTGTCCTTTCCCACGTCTGCTGCAGCAGCTTTCCATGTTGTCTGGCTAGTTTATTTCATCTGTCACTGAGATTAGGTAAGGCAGTTTACACACCGGCATCCCCGAAGCGCGAGAGCACCTTTCGCAGATGGCAGCGGGCACGGATGTGCGTGGCTGTCGAGCCTGACACTAAGGGGCAGCAGTGCCAAGAACAGGTGGATGATGCTTTCTATTACATAGGAAGAATGAACCGTCAGTGTTCCTATCTCAGTACAAGAACTTCAGACTATTTGGTTTTGGTGGTTTTATGATTAAACCCAGCACCACAGCTCTTTAATCTGAGACAATCCTGCTCAGTTCCCCTGGCTGGATAGGCCCCGGCAGTCTTCCTGCCTCAGCCTCTCTAGAGTGATTAGAGGTGTGTGTACATGCCTGGCCAGTGTGAGACAGGGTCGTCTCACCTGTAGTTCAGAGATTAGAGGCACATGCTCCCTGCCCAGCACAGCTGTTTGTTCAAAAGAACACATTGTCTATGGCTGCTTTTGTGCTGCAACGGCAGGGTTGCTAAGTTGAATGTGCTGACTGGCCCTGATCTAGGGTTGTGGTCTAGGAATGAAGATGTGGGTAGAGAAGGGACAGGAAGCAGTACTAACAACCGAAAGAGAAAAGTGCAGTGGCCATGACATAACTGGCTCTCACTGTGTTGATTTGTACCAAATCCTCCACTGCCTAAGGGTGAGCCGAAGCCCGAGGGGTGGGAGCCATCCAGAGGTGTGTATGGCAGGAGTCAGGTGGCCTGTCAAGCATCCTTTCACTGATCTCCATCCTGCCCCTCAGGTGTCCTCATGGTTGCTTCTAGCCATGCTGTCCCCCTTGAGTCTCAGTTCTAGGGACACCTTGGCCCAGTCGCTTCATCCCTGGGGTCCTATTTTCCTTTGCCTTCTGCCTTTCTCCACTGGCTGGACCCCTCCCCACACCTGTCAACAGCAGCCTGACCCAAGCCTGGCATGAGTCTTACCCCACTCTCTGCAGGATGTTCTCTCCCTGGCTGTGGGGCCCCGGGACCCTGATGAGGGAGTGTCCCCAGAACACCTGGAGCAGCTCCTGGGCCAGGTGCACCAGATGCTGCAGTGCCGCCAGGTAAGATTCAGCATGGGCCACCAAATGAGGCATTCGCAGCAGAGCGTCACTGGCCTAGGGCCAGTCCTCCCTAAGGGGAGCTGCTGCCGACAGCCTCCTTCTCCCCACAGTTCCTGTGCCCACCTGCTGAGCAGCACCTGGCCAAGTGCTCTGTGGAGTTGGCATCCCTCCTGGGTACGCCTCCTTTTTTATCACACGCTCTTGCACATCCCCCAGGTTGAGATGGGTGAAACCAAGATTAGGGCACAGAGCCCTCTTTGATTCCACTTTTAGGCTCTGACTTCCCTCTCTTCCCTAGTTGCAGACCAGATCCCCATTCTAGGGCCTCCCACAGTACACAGGCTGGAGCGGGGACAGGCACGAAGGCTTCTGCTCACGCTGCTTTCCCTGTGGAAGGATGACTTTCAGGGGCCGGTTCCACTGCAGCTGCTGCTGAGCCCTAGAAATGTGGGACTTCTTGCAGACACTCGGCCACGGGAGGTAAGTCTGATGGGACAGGAGGGCTCCTTAGTCCTCTGTGGCCAGCGTCTTGTTTGTCCATCCTCACTGAATTACTGTGCTTTCTGTGCTGCACTAAAACAGACTCCCTGTGTCTGTCTCAAGTCCACACAGCAGCTCTGACCTTTGTGCTCAGTCTGTCCCAGACACGGTCACTGCAGTGCCCCAGCAATGCTGACTGCCTCCGTGCTGGGTTTTGCAGTGGGATCTGCTGCTCTTCTTGCTCCGGGAGCTGGTAGAAAAGGGTCTGATGGACCGGATGGAGATTGAGGCTTGCCTGGGAAGCCTTCATGCAGCCCCGTGGCCAGAGGTAAGTTATCCCCCTCCCCTTGTCTTCATAGGGAGGGATGTCATACAGCCCATTTGTCCTTGGGCAGGACAAGGAATGGGGCCTGAAGTGACTACATGGCAGGTTTCTTCAAGAGCGCCAGAGATTGCAGTGTGGCTGTCCTTCAGAGCCAGGTGGCTGCTGTGTGAGGAATGGAGGTGGGGAACAGCAAGGAACAACTGAATATGGCTTTTTAAAATCACGATAGGCAGAATTTGGATCTTGGCCAGTCTAATGCTTTTGGGGGGGGGTGATTTTGGGCAAAGTAGTTTCTTCACCCATAGAACTAGTTTCAAGATGAGATACAAAACTGCTAACAGCACAAGCAGATGAAGGATAGGTACAGCTGCCTCCAGAGTTCACCCTGCCATGACACATACTTTCCAAAATACTAGTAAGACAAGGTCACACGTCCACTCCAGTACAGAGGGCTTTTGGGGCACATCTGCTCTCTGTCTAGGGCTTGGTCTTCAGGCATTCCACATCTGCCTTTCCCGTCACCTTTGTCTTCACTGCAGAACTTCTCTGAAGAATTAGCATCGCTGTCTCGCCTGTTTCTAGCTGAGCCCCACTTGCCAGAACCTCAGCTAAGAGCTTGTGAGCTGGTGCAGCCAAGCCGGGGAACAGTGCTGGCCCAGAGCTAGTGATCCTGCCTGCACCTCAGGAGGAAACTTGGGGACCCACTGCTGCTGAGAAGTGGGGTCTGCCCAGCGGGGGCAGGAAATGTGTGGCACGGGGCTGCCCAGAGGCTGGAGGCTTGCTGCCACACGATGGAGAAGCTTGAGGTTCCTGAATGCTGAGTGAAATGAGCGTGGGCTGGTCAACACAGTACATGAGCTGAACTTGCTGCGATCTCAGCATCTCTAACCTGGGGTCTTGGGAAGTCATGACAGAGGCAGATGACTTTTACTTAACTGTGAAGAAAGTTAAAACATGGATCTTGGGAGGTGGCATCATCTTACCACCAGGAGTTGGACTGCTTTATATGTACCACAAAGAACACAGGACCCATTGGCCAAAACCTGCCATAATCTGGACCTTTGCCCTGTGCAGATGGTAACTCTTCAGAGACTCTCCATCCGGAGACTGCTGAGTTTTTTTAAAAAATAAACTTTTAACAAGGGCTTGACAGCCATTTCCCCAGTGTATTCCTTTACGACATGAGCTCTGACTTGGGAGCTGCCTGCCTACACCGTGCATGCAGAACCAGTCTCCCACTGCAGGACTGTCTGCTGCTGACTTCCTACAGTACTTCAGAGTCCTCCAGTGTGCAGCTCCCCTAGGCACAGGAGACAGTGATAAGGATGCGGAATCCTCCCTGCCAAGCTGTGTGGTGGGGCAGCTTCTCTGGTGTCAGGTTTAGCTCAAATTGTGTGTTGGAGCAAAAGCACCCTGTGAGGGAATAAGACACAGCCTGTGTTGGGGGAAGTATTGGATACTCAGTGAAGTACTTTAAATGGCTTGCAAAATCTGCATGCAACATTTCTTAGGGGAAAAATTGCTAGTTATCAGAAAGACAGATTTTGGGGGATCAGAGAGATTTCCCGGTGCTACTAAGGCAAAGCCAGATGGCATCAATAGCAAGCCAGAGGCAGGATAGTTTCTGTCACACTTCTCCCTACTCACTAAGCCCCACCAGGCAGTCCATTCCTCCCTTTCCCCGCCACTCTGCATCTGAACCATTTTTTTGCATCTCTTCATTGTCAAAAGTCTTTTATCAGCCAGGTGTGGTGGTGCCCGCCTGTAATCCCAGCAACTCGGGAGGCTGAGGCAGGAGGAAGATTGCTGTGAGTTCAAGACCAGCCTGGGCTACATAGTGAGTTCCACGTCAGTCTCAACTACATAGTGAGACCCTGTCTCAAAAAACCAAAAAAAAAAAAAAAAAAGTCTTTATCTTTGTCCTTCAAATCCAATTTGTTCTGCATGCCTTATAATCAGGTTTGTCCTGGGAACTGAACTCAGGGCCTTACATACACTAAGCATGAGCAGTACCACTGAGTTAAAACTTTTCTGAGGGTTAAGAGTGTAAGAAACATGCTTTGCATGACGGGTGTGGTGGCACATGCCTATAATCTCAGCACTTGGGAGTCAGGTAGGAGGATTGGTGCCATGAGTCTGAGGCAGCCTGGGCTTTATAGTGAATTCAGTAGCCCAGGCTGGCCTTTAAGAATTCTTCCTACCTCACCCTCTGGAGTGCTGGGGTTACAGGTACATACCATCATGACAGGCTTGTTTTTGCTTTCTGTGCCCAGAGACAAATGTTACAGTGGTGTGGTGGTATGTTTAAGCCACAGCAAAGCCACTTTCTGATGTGCTTAGGGAAGCCTGAAGCCTCAAAGGATGCCAGGCTTATAAAGGCCTGGCTTAAGGCCACTGAGTTAAGAACAGGGGTTGGGGTGTCTGTATGATCCCAATGAAAGAACACTTTGTCCTACTGGTCTATTCTAAGGGTTGTAGAGATAGGAAACTACTGAACCACTGAGCGAATCAGGTTCCTTCCTATAGATCTGCACTCTGAATTGGCTAGACCAGTGGTTTTCAAAGTGTAGCCCCTAAACCAACAGCCTCAGTAAACCAAAATCTGGTTTTGCATTTAGGTGAATGGTCCCTTCAGCTACAAAATGAGCCTCAATCCAGCCTGGCCTTCAGTATCTTTGAGGGCGGAATCCGAAACCCTCAGGCCCTGCATAAAATGATACAATATATGCCCATAACTGACAACTATCCTCTGCTATACTTTTATCTTTTTCTTCCTGTACTGTAGGAGTCCTTTCCAGATTATTTAGAATACTAGAGCAGGGGATTTAGCTCAGTGGTTCTGGTGCCTGCTTTGCAAGCACTAGGACCTGAGTTCGATTCCCAGTGTCAAAAAAAAAATACCTACTACAGGGTAGGCCGTGTGTAAATCAATGCTATCCTGTACCGTTTAGAAAATGACAGTGTTTTCCTCCAATACTTCTGATCCGTGTTGGTCGAGGGCATGGATGTGGAACACAGGTGAAAGCTGGCTGTACTCATGCTGCTGACTCAGGCTGGAATGGAAGGGAAACACCGTCGCTGCGAGCTGTTCCTTCATCTGGGTCTCTGCATCAGCCTTCTCCAGCTTCAGGGTGGCTGCTCTCTCACCTGGGCTTGAGCAAGGAGCCTGCTTGATCTTGACTGCTAAGTGGGTCTGGGCTCAGGGGAAGCAGGTGGTACACAGGCAAGCTGCACCACAGAAGTGTGGGCCACGGGGCAGGCTGAATCCTGCCGGCACAAATGACAGACTTCCTTCCCAAATACAAGTACACATGGAACTTCAGATTTACAGACATTCTGACCTTGCTGGTCAACAGTCTTAGTAAAGAGATTTATATGAAGAGATGGGAATACATAAGCAGGGCATTAATTTATCAAGTGTAACCAAAAAACCTGAAAAATAAAGTTTAAAACGGAATTTTTAAAATTTTCAATAATATATAAATAACCTGAAGCCAGGTGTGGTGGCGCACGCCTGTAATCCTAGCACTCTGGAGGCTGAGGCAGGAAGATCGCTTCAAGTTCAAGACCAGCCTGGGCTACAGTGAGTTACATTTAGTAAAGAGATTTATATGAAGAGATGGGAATACATAAGCAGGGCATTAATTTATCAAGTGTAACCAAAAAACCTGAAAAATAAAGTTTAAAACGGAATTTTTAAAATTTTCAATAATATATAAATAACCTGAAGCCAGGTGTGGTGGCGCACGCCTGTAATCCTAGCACTCTGGAGGCTGAGGCAGGAAGATCGCTTCAAGTTCAAGACCAGCCTGGGCTACATAGTGAGTTCCAGGTCAGTCTCAACTGTATAGTGAGACCCTGTCTCAAAAAACAAAACAAACAAAAAACCTGAGGTAAGAGAAAAAGCCCTGCAAACATTCTCAGAAGCAGAAATCCATGCTGCACTGCACAGACTGATCCCTTTTGCACACGTCCACTGAGTCTCCCCATTACTACCTTCAGGCAAACAGCATCAACACAAACTCACCTCCACCCTGTCTTAGCAGAGGCGGGGCTAGAGCAGCTCCCTCCTGACAATTCCTGTACCTCCTTTGCCCATCTTCAGAGTTTGGTTTTTAGTCTGAAGTTTCTCTCACCAGCAGCCACCCCCATTGCTCCTAACCCAGATCTGTCCAGCCTGTTTCTAACCTGGTGCCCCCTGGCTCTGGCGCAAAGACCCACACACCCTTCCCCAGGAGGAAAACGAAAGGGAAGAAAGGGCAAAACGAATAGTAAAACACTTTGCAAAAATTTAGCAGGGAGAAAAGATTCTGAATCAGAATTCTGGTTTGGGCAGCTGTTTTTTTAAAACCCTCTCTCTGCTTTGGTCCTGACTCCCCCCCCACCCAGGCAGCTGCCTGCTGGAAGGGAGGAAGGCACATGGAGAGTGGAGTCCTGGCTGGTGGCTGCTCACTTCACGTCAGTTCTCCCAGAGGCTGGGACAGGAATAAGGAGGCACCTCACCAAAGCATCAGCTCTGATGGCCAAGTCCCACAAATGGAAATCAAGGAGAGAAATCCAAAAGGTGAGTTGAGCTTCATTCTCTGGACAGCCAGGAGATCAGGCTGCTCAATGCACAGGTGCCAGAGGTGATCAAGGACTGACCCAGCCTCGCTGGCAACCTAGGCTGGTGCCATCTGCAAAGCTGGCCACCACAGGGAGCATCGGCTCTCCTCACCTCAGGGCTATGGCATCAAGCTCAGCAGCACCAACTTGACAACGCGATGTTAGCTGCCAAGGAAGGAAGCCAGCTTGGCCACGATGAGGGGCTGCTGTTTGATAAAGGAGCTCAGGAGATGAGGGGGGAAGCCTGGAGCACCCAGTTCTACCTGAAAGCAAGAAGAGTTGGAGGTAAAAACAGACCTGAAGGTGCCAGGGCCTTCCCATCCCAACAGCCACCCTGGCCAGGGCAATGGGAAGTGTACCGGACCCCACTGACCTGGTGTCTACAAGTCCCTGGGCTCTGCTGCTAGAGCTCAGCATCAGCCCTCACTCCCAGTGACAAAGTCTGAGTCATGGGACTGAATGTGGACAGCCAAATACAATGGACAAAGGGTGATTCTGCTCTGCCAAGGCTTCTATTCGGGGAGGGGGTGAGTCACTAAATTGTTCAGTTTGGCCTTAAACTTGAGATCCTCCTGCCTCAATTTTCTGAGTGCTGGGATTACAGACTGTGCACCACTGCACCCAGCTTAGAGGCTGCTGCTCCTACTTTGCAATGATTCATCTACAGTCTAAGGACCCTGGGGTCAGCCACAGGATGCCTAACAACATCAGAAAGGCTGCTGACTGTCTCACTCTTTCCCTGTGACTCGCCATTGCGAGCCTCAGAAGCCAAGAGACTCCAGCTATCAGGCAAAGGGCCTGGCCACTAAAAGGGGCTGTCCAGCAGGACAGAGATTCCAACATGTCCTATGAAGCCAGTATCACCTGGGCCAAGTAGATGACTCTGGTCATTTCCTTCCCTTTCACAGTGACAGGCTGCAAGATCCATGCACTGGGCAAGATCTCCCCTCGGACCATTTTTCTGCTGGGTCTTGGCATGGATGTGTCATATACAGATTGAACCGCCACGATAGACAGGTGCCCCTGTGGAGAGATGAGAGTCAAGAGCCAGGCTCAATTTACTGAGCATGGTGGAGGCAATGCTAGGCCAGCCCCCAGGCTACCCCTGCCCTGACCCTATCCCCAGTGTACTCTCCCCTTCCCACAGAGGACCCAATGCCCATGCTGTTTCTCATAACACTCCAGCCCACATTCTCCCCACAACATCTTTACCACTAGTGAGACAAGCACCTCTTTGGCCTCTACGCAGACACAACAGAAATCCCGAGGCTGCTTCAGTACGCACAGGGAGGCATTGCACACCAGGTACACTGGAGAGGCAGGGCAAGGCAGTCAGGGGCTGTGGGCAAACCTCCTGAGTCTTTCCTGCCTGCAACCCTCTGTTCCCTGACTGGACACCCAACAAAAGCGAGGCTGAGCACTTTGGGGAAGCCTGAGAAGTGGGCTGCCTCCACCCTCCACCCGGTCCCCACCCAGAGCCCACTGCACACAGCAGAAATCTGAACTCCAGAGGCCTCCCTCCTTGGGGCTCACCCAGGCTGATGCTGTTGGTCACCCGCTGATGCAGCCTTGCTGTCTGGACAGTCTTGTGATACAGGGGCCACAGGGTTGGGTCACTCACAGCTGCCCACACGTGAGACAGAGGCTGGGCCACCACACCTGCCCCCAGGAAGCCATGCCGAGTAGAAGAAAACTCCTTATAGTAAAGCTGCACCTCCTGCTCTTCACCTTGATAGCTGGAGGACAGACACCAAGGGTCAGAAGAGGAAGAGGTTTAATAAAAAGGGTTCCAAGCCAGGCATGGTGGTGCATGCCTGTAATCTCACCTCTTGGGAAACTGAGGCAGGAGGATCGCTGTGAGTTCAGTATCAGCCTGGGCTACACAGTGAGTTCCAGGGCAGTCTGAACTACACAATGAGACCCTGTCTCAAAGAAAAGGGTTCCAGCTGAACATGGAACCTATAATTCCAGCACCTGGAGAAGCTGAGGCAGAAGGATCACAAGTTTGAGCCCAGCCCAGTCAATTTAGTGACACAGTGAGACCTTATCTAAAACTTTTACAAAGGAGTGGGAACATAGCCCAGGGTGAAGGCTCTGGGTTTAATCCCCAGGACCAGGAAAACAAAATAATAGATTCCAAAGTAGAGAGGGGGAGCTCAGAGTTTGGGAAGCTGGGCAGAGAAGGGGAGAGGAAGAGAAGCCAAGCAAGACAAGGGTAGAACTCAGACACTTGGACAGGACTTACTTCCAGCCAGCTGTTGCTTGGCGAATGAAGAGGTTGTGCAGATTATCTGAACAAGCAGCCATTACCTGGGGACACAGGGACCATACCAAATAAGTAGGCACAGTGCCCATTTCTCAAGACAGCCACTGAGGACACCTCAGCCCTGCTGGCCCTGATCTGTGCAGCTCCTCCCACTCCCCTCCTACAGAGGTCTGGCTACTGCAGAGGAGGTGGACAGTTACATCGGCCATGGAAGTGTCCACGATGTGCTTGGCCAGATCCTGGTAGGAGGAGGAGAAGCAGGTCCCCAAGCTAGACAGGCTGGATGCGGAACAGCAACAACTGCTCAGGGAGCCTCTGCGGCCTGTGAAAAAAAGTGGAGGCTGAGACCTCAGGACCATGACAGGTCTCGGCAGGGACACAGACACAAGGGCTGGTACCACCAGGCCAGTGACTCCCAAGTTCCCAAACCAGGATCTGTATCCTACCTGCCCACCACTCACTGAAAGCTGAGCTCTTCTGGGCAGATCTGGCCATATACAGGTGACTGTTCCTCATGGCTGAACAACTCCGTCCATCCCCAATCCAACTGTCTCTGGAATCAGGCAAGTTTGAGTCCCTCTGTGGAACAGACCCATTGGTCAGAGCTAGAGAGCCAGTGAGGAGGCCCTTGTGATGCCTCAACTTACAAATCCTATCTGCTGGGATTCCAGGAGGCCAGACGCCTCCCAGAGGTCACAAGCAATAGAAACTAGTCCTGGAACAAAAGCTCCTTGCCCCCCAGGGCACAGCATTCAGAGTTACAACAAATGGGTGGGATGGTGTAGCTCTGCAACACCCTAGCAACAGGAGTAAGGCCAGAGTTTGGGAAGCAGGGCAGAGAAGGTGGGAGGTGGTGTGGGTCATCCCACTAAAGTGGAAGTTGGGACAGAGAGGAAGAGCACTGTGCCCTGCAAAGCTGAAGCCTTGGCCCTTGCTCCAGGAGCAGCTGCTAGGCCAGTCCTAACGCGAAACCAGATGGGGCTGATCCTCTGGATCTATGACACAGCCCACCAGGCAGTCACCACACGGCCTTCATCATCAACTTGTTCCTAGGAGATGTGATCTGTTCCCAGTGCCACCATGATGCCTTCCAAGCATAATCATGAATTATCCAATAAATACTGATAAGACAAAACAGACTACACATCAGAGACTCCATAAATCATGCCAAAATAAATCTATGCTTTGTAAATCAAAGGTACATTGAGGGTGAGGGAAGTGTTACATCATAAGAGAGTATGATGAAGTCATAGTGGGAAACTGCAATAAACAACTTAATAAATATAATAAACTATATCTTTAAAATAATAAAATCTTTAACCTGCCATGGTAGTACACATCTGTAATTCCAGCTCTGGGAGGCTGAGGCAGGAGGATTACAAATTCAAGCCCAACTTGGGCAACACAATGGCTTAGTGAGAGCCTGTCTCAAAACAAAACAAATCAAGGCGGGGTGCTGGGATGTAGCTCAGTGCAAAGGTCCTGGGTTTGATCTCCACTACAACCAATACAAGCAAACAAGCAAATGTATGGGATACACTGAAGGAATGATGCAATAAAAAATTTTAGCTTTAAATAGATCAATGAGGGCCGGCAATTTAG